CCAAAAGCAGTTCCAACCAGGCCCGTGCCTGGAATTTCAGATCCTCAGGGCTGTGGATTTATTCAGCAGCACCTAGGTTGATACCTACATAGAGGATTTCTACAGAAGTTTCTGGAGGAGGTGGTATAATGGAGAAGTCTGGGTGACAGAGAAGTAACATGGAGGACCCAATCTTTCTTAGATGTCACACCCAACCTGAGTCTCCAGATGCAGCTGGACTCTATTCTTCCCAAAGAATCCAGGAATGGAAGGGCAAAAGACAACTATAAAGAATCAGCAGTACCTAGATTAGTTCCCTGATTAGAGTACAGGCTAAAGTTTGGACAGTTTTTCTGACCCTGAGATAATCCTGCCTCATGGAATCATAGGACCATAGAACATGAGAGCAGGAAGAGTCCTCAGAAATCATGTTGCTCTGTCTTCTCCTTTTAGTGGCATGGGATTGAATCTGGGATAAGGGGAGTACTCTGTTTCAGACATTTAAGCACCTTCCTCTATACCGCCATGGTAGCCGGTGCTTACTGTTTTCACAGCACCTACCACGTCAGACTGTCATTCCCAGTGAAGACATCCGCTCCTCTTTGAACTTGAAATTCACTGGAAGCAGAAACTGCCTTGCTTCCTTAAATCCCTGGTGCCTAGCGGACCCTGTCACATAGCAGGCGGTCAAACGTTTGTTGAAGAAATCAAAGTTTCAAGTCAAACGGTGAGAAAGTTATCATTATTCCATTAGGCAAAGGATAGAGTATCTTGGTTTCATTAACTTTAAAGGGTAGAGCAGTTTCCTTCCAATGAATCAGAAGGAGTTTCGTCATTATTTTTCTTATTTGCAAAGTATCAAGTTAATAAGTATGGAGCTTAATGTATGATATAGACCCCGTCTCCAAATTCCACTGGCTGGCGTTTCTTTTTGCTTTCACCCAAGTGTCCCATCCCAAGCCTAAAACAAAAACCTCAAGACGGAAGTACTACTTTCAGTTTTGTGCTGTAAATTTTAAAACTTATTATTACTATTATTATTTTTTGCTGCCTCAACATCCCCACAAACAGGCTGTGAGCACACTGCCAGGTGACCTCGTGCATCAGTGTGGTAAGGCTGGCCCCTGCCACAAGATCCCATTCTTGCTTTCCCTTGACCGTCACCTAATGTCAGTCAAATATACCAATGAAATTCCCTCATGCCTTTTGCTTGTATACTCTATCCTGACCCCCAATAAAGGCACTTTCCCCTGGGTCTCTGTTTCTCTCTCTCTCTCTCTCTCTCTCTCTCTCTCTCTCTCTCTCTCTCTCTCT